TAATACATACCTTGTTTTCAACCATACTGTGTAGCAGAATTACCTATGGAACTTCTTAATCATACTTATATTTAAGTCCTACGTCTAGAGATTATCATTCAGAAGGTAAGAGGCAGGTCCAGGCATCCATACATTAAAAGTGCCAAATTCGACTCAGGCAGCTAGAATTGAGAAATACTGTTATAAAAATTGCATGGGATGGTTCACCTCTTCTCTACTTTACTACAGCAAAGATAAAGTGAGAAAAAATGGAGATGGGATGTTGGAAAGAGAAAAGGGAGTAAATTACCTTTTCCATCTGGTTTTTGAGATGAGAAAATGTGGCAGTCCAGGGCTAGGCAAAACTGCAATATAAACCAAGTTTACTTTCATTATTCCTATCACTTACTTTTCCACATTTTTCTCTTACCTCTTGGCTTTCCAACCGTTTTCTTGACCTCCAAAGTATTCGAGGGTACTCACGTTGCATACATCCCCATCCCTTTCGTCATAACCCTCAGTCCTGTTTCTTCCTGCTTATTCTTTGCTTTCCTGACAAGCCAAACTCCCAACTGTCTGTTCATTTCAAGTATGTATCAGAAAATTAAGTAACACTAAGATATTACTATTAGCTTTCCCCATTGAAGCCTAGCATTGTTTACCTGATAATACAAATGATTCTTGATGAGTAAGATATTTTTGACAGGAAGTTCTTTCCAAGTTTACAATGCCTATTGAGAGTATATGGCTGCTGGTCATGGTTCTGATAAACCTTTCCTACACTTTTCCTTATTTAAATCCTGGGGCCAAAATGTCCTGCAAACATACAGTGAACAACAGCAACTTGAAAAGAGAAGACAAAACTGCCTTTACCCAGGCAGGATACAAGACCAATGCTTGAGAATCTGTTAACTGAGATGCTTTCATTTCTAGTGTGCAAAAATTTGGAGCTATTCCCTTCAACTAATTTCCTTAGAAGACTCAAAGATTATTTTACAAATGGCCAAGTACTAAAGAAAGAAACTAAGTGAACCAAGAAGAGATTTTGGGAAAATAGGTTATGGAATAATCCTAAATGTGAAAGGAGATCAATAAAAATCACGCCTTTTACTGACTGAAATGGATACTAGGACTATCATTATAATTCTTCCTATGAAAGACATGAGCAAGAATAAAATGGGAGAAAAGACAATTACAATGAGAAAGAGTGACTATGAAAGTCAAAGAGAAAAAAAAAAACTTGATTTTAAACATCTATCACCCCATATCTTTGTTTATTCTGCCTGCAATACCCTTCCTTCTTCCTTTTATGATTAACTTCTACTGAATCTTTCAAGACTCAGTGAGTATCACCACAGGGGAACATACACTCAACCCCTCACAGACTGAGCTACATGCTACTCTGCTATAAAACAAAAGATGTAATACCCTGTCTTATAGCAATTACTATATGATTTTGAAACTAATGCTTGATGATAAAGAAAACAAACATGAACACTAGTGCCATATTTTATGTTCTCTAAATTCTACACTGAACTGATTAACTGTTTATTAAATTTTGGTTTATTAAAAGAAGAGTGTCACTGCCTTAAGCACATATTAACTATTTAGCACTAAATAAATAACATACAGTATATTAAATACCTTGCAAATTAAAAAGACTAAGGCAACATTCTCTGTGCTGATATAGAAAGACTATCAAAATATATTAGTGAAAAAATGGGATGAACAGTTTATACATTTGTTTGCCTAAAACATATAAGAATATAGAATGTGTATATGTACTTTTTTTTTTCTGGAAAGATACATAAGAAACTAATATAGGTATAGGGACTTTGTGTTTTCTTTTTCTTTGTTATTTGAATTTTCTATTCTAAATAATTTTTACAAAAAACAATGTTTTAAAAAATTACTAAGGATTATCTGGTTCCTAGGATTGAGGGCTTTTTAAAGAAATTATTTAAGGGTGAAGATGATATCTCATATATTTTTGCATCTCCATCACTAAACACAGAGTTGAACACAGCATTGATTAATGTTGAATTGAACTCTGCTTATTACCTATTTTTTCCTATCTCTTTCCATAACTATTGACTTTTTATGAGCCTCTCCCCCATTTCCCATTATTTTACATAAAGTACAAAGTACAGTGCCTTAAAAATAGTAGCTGCTCAATAAATGTTTGTTCAGTGCAATCACATACTCTCTTATGTGTGTACAATGCAGTTGCCAAGGCAGGAAAACAGTGATTGTTTGTTTCTACTCCTAATTACTTGCTTTTAACACACATTATACAAAGATCCATCTATATCAATCATGTTTGAGTGAATATGTTTTGCACTGAAGATACAAAAGTGAAAGGAATCTGGTGCCTCTCAAGACTGACGAATCTACCAATTTTTCATTTGCAGGAAAGAAATGGGAATGACAATATGTGGATGCACTCACTAATCTTGCTTCTTTCTCCCTTTAGGTTTTTCAAAGCCCTCTATCCTAACATGCCCTATTCAAATTCATTTTAGTTAGAATACATGGCCAATGAATACTTGCTAAGAGTTTAAAGTAATAATCTATTAGAAAAGGTACTGGAAGACTATTTAAAATGGAACAGCCAGGAGTAACTAAATCTCTTAATTATTTTCAAAACCGGCAAGTAACTTCTGCTAATTTTTTTTAAGTACAGGATTGAAGAACCAACATCAGATTTTAAAAAATGCACTAATGACATCTTCTGGTTACCATAAAATAATGATAGTCACTTAAATCTGAATCTCTTTACATATTTTACAAAAAAAACTGACAAAAGAGATAAAATTACTCACAATCCACAGCAACACAACAAATTTTAATTTAAATATGTTAGGAAATACGCTATCCTAAGCCAGCAGAATGAGCTCTGGGGATCACTCCGGAGAAAGGGTAAGGTGTAACTGTGCAGAAAAGAGGTGACAGAGAGTAGAGTACACTGCCAAAAAAGATAGGATCCATCTTTGGGGGGAAAATACTGAGACTAGCTCGGAGACGTCACGGTACAGAGCGATGGCTCCTAAGGTCCAGCAGGATCAGAGATGGCAGTCTTAAGAAGGTACTGCCTGAAGAGGAGAGGGAGGCCCCTTGGAATGGGAAGGCATCCTTGGGGGCAATGATGATGAAGTAAAAGAAGGAAGCAGGCAACTGAAATTAAAGATATTTAAAAAGTAGGGTAGTATCTCTAACTTTTTGTTTTTTGAGATGGAGTTCCATTCTTGTTGCCCAGGCAGGAGTGCAATGGCACAATCTCTGTTCATTGCAACCTCTGCCTCCTGGGTTCAAGTGATTCTCCTGCCTCAGCTTCCCGAGTAGCTGGAATTATAGGCACCTGCCAGCACGCCCAGCTAATTTTTTTGTACTTTTAGTAGAGACAGGGTTTCATCATGTTGGCCAGGCTGGTCTTGAACTCCTGACCTCAGGTGATCTGCCAGCCTCAGCCTCCCAAAGTGCTCAGATTAGTATCTTCAAATTTAACAACACACAAATTGTCTATACCTGTCCCAAATTGAGCCATTTATTAATTGAATTTCATTGTACCTACAGAATAGGAAACTCTTGAACTAAGAACCAAATAATACACCCCAAAAGTAAGTGCTTCCCTACATAAATCTTACCCTATTGCCAATTAAGGAAAATATCATGCATTTAATGTTTAAAAAGCTGTAGAACTGTGATTACATTATTCTTTCATTTATTTCAGAAGATACATAAAAATACTATAACATAGTGTAAACATGTGGGTATATAGTTTAGTAGAAATAATTTTTTTCTGTTTTTAAGTTCATTGTTTTCCCCTGATTTTTGATCTTGAAAATTTCTGTACTTAGAAAAAAATGAGTTGCTAATAGGAGCATGACAATCATATATTCTCCATCTAAATTAAACTACTGTTAATTTTTTGCCAATTTGCTTTCCTTCATTCTATCTCTGTAGAGTCATAATTTCACTATTTCATACTTTTCCTAAAATAAGAATGTCAAAACACTGACATAAAATAATTCCAATTTGATTAACTCTATTTCATAAAAATCTTTGCCAATTCTAAAAATCGCTTCTGTTTCACCTTGCTACATTTCAAGAAAATTAAACAATTACAATATTTACCTCCTGGACATGACAAAATAAGAAATAATTAAAATATATTCAACTGAGTTTTAAAACTAAGAAAAGACCAACCAATACTATCTTAATGCACACAAAAGTTGGTAACCTAAAAATTCCTGATCTAAAACTCTTAGCAAGGAATTTTGGACACAGATAAAGATATTATTAAAGTAACATAAAAACAAACTGCTAATATTAGTATACTAAAAAATCATCTAATCTGAACCAGGGGTTTTGAAATCATATCTTACAATATCTTATGGAAAAATTTAACATGTAAAATGGAGCAAACAGTGGTACTTCAGAAGCTGCTCTGAATGAAGACATGGGTTGCTTCAAATCTTGTAAACCTACTCCATACCTTGCTGATCAGGCACTTTATATGTACAGATAGCATAGTTTGAATACTATTATTTTAATGCAATCACACAGTTTTGCAGTTTTCCAAAATTTCAGTATGCTGACTCTTCAAAATACAGTAAAGAACTTTTTCTTTTTTAAATATCAGTATTCCTTTAGAATTGAAAAAGGCTTTGGAAACAAAAGCAAACTTTGAAAATCAATATTAATAACAACTCAGTTTTACTATCTCAGTAAATGTATACTTCACAAGTAGTTGGAAACAGAAGTTCTCTTAAAATATATACCATGTAAAATTTTCAAATATTTGCAAAGGCTTCAGCACTCATTAAGCCCAAAGAAACTATAACAAACCTACAGGTGATGATACATTAAATTTCAATAACACTGTAACACTAAAAGTGCAATAAGTCAGATGTTATCTTAAATGTTGATTACAAATCACGGTAATGGCCAAAAAGAGGAGAAATAGAAAACAGTCATTATGCTCAAATGAATAAAAATTATGACACATGGGGAACTTGTACCTTTATGCTGGTTTTCAAATTCTTCAGTTAAGAGGTGGTAGCAACAACCCACACTACAAACTCCCCTGATTTCAGAGTTGGAAGTAAATATTCGCAAAGTATTTGGAGCCAGGTCACCGCAAGTGTGTAGACCTACAATCAAACAATCCTTTAAAAGACAAGAAGAAAAATAAATTTAGCAATTAAAAAGAGGGTTGTTTAACATTTTTATTTCTTTTATTTTTACATATGGGATCTTGCAATGTTGCCCAGGCTGCAGTGTGGTGGCTATTCACAGGCACAAACATCACATGCTACAGACTCAAATTACTGGCTTCAAATGATCCTCCCACTTCAGCCTCCCAAGCAGCTGGCACAGGCACTTGTACCACCCCCAGCATGAGGTGAAGATTTTAAATGTCCATTAAAATATGTAAAGGTGTTAATAATTATCAAATTATACCTAGAAAGTATTCTCTGCTTTTATTTTCATAAGTAATTATTTCTTTATAAGTAAAATAACTGTGATATCTTTACAACTTTTGAATTTTTTCAGTGATTTCATTTATTTACCTGTTCATATTTTCTCTCATTTTACAACTAATATTTGCTTAACAACTAGAGAAAGCAACAATTGGACTAATCGAATGTAACATGTATTACTAGACCAAACCTGTGCTTTCATATATATTTATATCACATTTTGACCATAGCATTAATTTTTAAAATTAATTTCACTTCTCAGATTGCCCATTAAAAACCTTATAAAATATTGCTATAAAAATAAATGTAACTGTTGCAAACTTGGTATTTTAACAATAAAAAGCTTAGTTTATTCACTGCATCAAATATGACAATATAACATTTACTTAAAACATTTTTTTCCAAATGTTATAACATACATTTTACTTAGAATTTTCCTATGAAATATTTATTCAAATTATCCAAAGCCTAATTTAAATGTATCCACACACATACACAGTGGGTACAAATGTAAACATGCAAGGAATCTTGTTCAATATAACAATCATTTTAAAGCTGAATTTACTATAATACTTTTCTGTCTTTGACGTGATTCATAGAAATTTAGTTAAAGAAGGATTAAAAAGAAACTTGCATAGAAAAAAAATTTATACAGAAAACTTGTACCCTATTAGAATCATATACTTTCACATTTGTAACTAAAAAATTTCTAATATCACCCTCTCATTTTTCCAGATGACACCTTAAACTCTGATAATATAAAGGTCATGTTTTCACTGTAAATCTGTGAATATAGGTATATTAATTTCTAGTTTTTTAAAATTAAAACATCATGTGTCTCAAAGTGTTCTCTAAAGTATTCCTCATCCAACAGAAGAATTCCTTTACAATACCAACTAAAATTAATTTTAAAGTTCTAAATAAAATATTAAAGATACATGAGTTTACTTAAGAGATGTTAAGGAACTGATTATTAATGAACTGATTACATAAACTGTAGTGCAATCATTAAGAGCACAGTCTTGGCAAACCGCCTGTTTAAATTCAAGTTCCGTCACAGTGTGATTAGGAAAGCATAACTTTTTAGTGCTTTAGTTTCCTCAACTGTAAGATGGAGATAATAACAGTGCCTCATCTGAATAGGTTCTTTCAAAACTTAAGTAAACCAATCCCTGTAAATGACTTAGTACATACCATATAATAAAATTCAGAAAACACTGTCCACTTTTTATAATTATAATTTACTTCACAAATTCACAATAAGTATTAACTTGTGTCTCAAGTACATTTTTATAACTATTGTCAGAATATAATTGTTTCAAAGATTTTAAAAAATTATTTTACTAAAAATGTTATTTTAGCCTATGTATCCTAGACATAAAAGAGAGCTGAAATCAAACTTACTAATGAAAAAAAAATTGTGTCTGTAAGTGGTTTCTGACCTGATAGAACACTCACAGTTGCTTCAAGCACTATCTTTTTCAAAGCAGTTTTTAGAGGGTTATGCAGCTACTCTGCTTGTCTTCATGATTAGTTTACATAGGTTTTATTTAGATATTATGATGTCATAAGTAAAAATAATTCAAAAATGTAAGATTTATTGCTAATTAAGGGTAGAGTAACAAAGCTACAAATTTCTCTTTTTAAGCTTCATTTAGCTGTCTCTAAAAAAATACAAGAACATTTAAACTCATTCTTTATTGCATTTATCATATAGGTAATAAATATTACCAAGTAGCAGCTAGGAGACAAAAATATGTAATCACCGTATTATCCTACTAGTAACATATTTTAAGTATTTTGAGAGGGTGAAGGGAATAGGAGCTGTTAGTTAATTCTGTAATTAAATTGTGATTCACTACAGGATCCACGAAACATTCTTCCAGCATATCTTATTTTAGATGATTCTTGCAAGAGTTTGCATACAGTTTTGATCACATACTTTCAGCAAGATACTGAGAAAATTAGAAGGTGATAACGTGTACTAGAAACTGACATTTTTTAAAGGTAAGCTAAAGTAATTGGGATTGTTTAACTCTAAGAGAAAGTCTAAAATAGCTTAATTATTTATTTCATGTATAAGAAAATGAGTTAATGAAGGTACACTAGATTCCCTTAAATCCAGAAATGTCTGGGAAAAAGAAAAATTTCCCGTTTAAAAAAATGGCAAAACACTGGTCATCTATCAAATACGGATTTAAATTGATAAAGAACTCCAGTATCTTTTATTTACACATTTCTTCAGGGAAGAGTTTCTTAAAAAAAAAAAAAAAGTTACAAGGGTACTACAACTCCCAAGGCTACCTTTTTTGTTCTTTTTGAGACAATGAGTTAGGCCAGATGATCTCTAAAGGCTCCTCTACAATACTGTTTTAACATGCAAGGTTGCCTTTAAGTTCTGCTGTCTTTCAATTACATAAACTGACCTACTCGTAATTTAGAAAAAGTTCAAGGTTTGAAAAACACTTAGAAGCTACTCTTGCTCAGGAAAATTCCATATTGGCAAGTCTGACATTGAACATTATTTTATTCTAGATATCCCTTTACTTCAAATTTAAATTAAAATTTAATTGCTTGTTTAGAATTGTAGCAATTCCTAATCTGCAGAGTGAGACCTTAGTTTACTTCCTAGCTTTTGTGCTAGTACTTCTATTTGACTCAAGAGGTTTGAAATGAGTAGAGGATGCTCCATTCTGAATAGGCTCATGTCAGATTTTGATAGGTGTGGGAATAACGAAAGCCTACTTATGATTTTATTTTCTTGGTCTGTTAGATTAATGTGATCAAGTGACATACGTATGTTAAGTAAGCTATTATTAAAATTGAGTTCAATGTTTTTATAAATCAAATTAAATAATTCAAAAGTAAAGTCACCTCCAAATCTTCAATAATGTCATGGAGTTCTGAATCAGCAGTGATAAAGGAGGTTAAAGGTAAATATATATTTGATTCTCTTGACTTTGATGTCATTTTTCTTCTCTCTTTATTGACTTCAGATGTTTCTCTGTTGGGTATTTGCTGTGAAGAAGTAGGCTCTATCGCATTAATAGGCAAAAGGTCTATAAGAGGAAAGACATTTTCAAAACACAAATTTTCTTCCTGATGTGACTGAGAATGTAGGGGTTCCATCTGATTTCTGATATTAGAAATTACAGAGCCAGAAAAATCAGGTAAAAAATCGGAGGTAGACATCTTTTCTTGATTTCTAAGACTGTTGTTAAAAACTTCCTCAATATCTGTTTTATTTTTAATTGCATTTTGCGCTTTCCTTTCTTTTGACATTTTTAATGCCAGTTCACTGACATCTAATCTTGACTGAGCATGACACAGTTTCCAATGTTTCTTCAATTTTCTGTTTCTCTCCTCAGCTCCATGAGTATTGGTATTTGAGGAATCGATTCCATAAACTTTTAAGCCATACTTCAAGGACAAAAAGGAGCTTAGGTAGCCTTTCCCGGAACCCAAGTCAATCACCTAAAGTTAGAAAAAAAGAATAAAGAATTTTAGGTAAATGGTAATAGAAAGCATTGCAGATTTTTTTAAAGTAAGCAAACAAATGAATTATATAACTTAAATATTATTTTAAATTTTAGTTTTTTTATTCCTATGAAAAATCAACCACTCATCGTTTTTATTCAACATTTTACTGGTAGTAAAATTTCTAGCTAGTATACTAAGTTAAGGAAAAGAAGTAAAATAAATAAATAATGTTATTTTAAATAAATATTTAAAATAAATAAATAAATAATGTAAGGGAAGAAATTCTGTATACATAGATGACATTACTATGTCTGAAGAATATCCTAAAAAATATACAAAAAGCTAATAGAAATAGTAAGTGAATTTAGTAACGTGTCAGGATACAAAGTCAATAGAATTAACAATGAATCATCAGAACATACATAATATAGTAGCAAAAACCAATTAGGAGTCAAGTCAAGGTTGGTGGCTCACACCTATAATCCCAGCACTTGGGGAGGCCAAGGAGTGAGGGCTGCTTGAAATCAAGAGTTTAAGACTACCCTGGCCAATACAGAAAGATCTTGTCTCTATTAAAAAAAAAAAAAAAGAAAGAAAAATTAGGAAGTAAAAATTTAAAACAATTCAATTAAAATAGAATAAAAACAGAATATATAGGAACAAATTTAACAAAGGATGTACAAAACCTATACACTAAAAACTATAAAATATTGCATAAAAATTTAAAAATTGATATAAAGAGATATACCATGTTCATGAAATAGTGGACTCAATACAAAGATGGCAATTCTTTCTTCACATTTCAATTCAATCCTAATTAAAATCCCAGCTAAGCTTTGTAAAGAAATTGATAAGCAGATATTATAATTTATAAAATAAGGTAAAATGCCTAGAAAATAAAAACAATTTTGAAAAAGAGTAAGGTTGAAGAATTTTCCTGATTCAAGAATATAAAGCTAAAACAGTGTGGTAAAGCTACAGCTGGTATAGACATATAAATGAATGGGGCAAAAAAAAAGTCCAGAAATAGATCCATACTTATATAATCAACTGATTTTTGACAAAGTCTCCAAGATAATTTAATAGAGAAGATAGGTTTTTCAACAAATGGTACTACTGGTGTAACTAGATGTTAATATGAAAAAAAAGAAAAAAAAAAAAAAGAGAGAGAGAATTTTGCCTGTCACACGCCAAACACAAAAACTAATTAAAAGTGGATCACAGATTTAAATATAATAGAAAAATGATATCTTATGGAAGAAAAGATGAAAAAAATTGTGACATTCTGATAGGCAAATATTTTTTATACCGGGCATAAAAATCAACAATAACAAAAGAATTTTTAAAATAAAATTTATTAAAATTAAAACTTCTGTTAAAAAAATAAAAATGAAAAGAAATATTTGTAAAACATTTATCTGAGAAAGGATTTATATCCAGAATAAAAAAATCTTACAACTCAATAAGAAGACAAGCAACCCGATTAGAAAATGCGCAAAATATTCAAACATACACTTCACAAAATAAAATATACACATTGCCAATGTGAAAAGATGCCTAATATCACTAGAGAAATGCAAACCACCACCACAGTGAGATATACATAAATGTAAAATGCTATGGCCACTTTGGAAAACACTGTGAGTTTACCATAAAGATAAATATACACTTTACAAATGACCCATCTATCTCACTTCTATTTATCCAAGAGAAGTTAAAACATGACCATACAAAAGCTTTTATGTGAACATTCAGAGCAACGTTATTCACAGTTGGGAAAAAATAGAAACAACTCAAATGTCCATCAATTGGTAAATAATAAAACAAACAGTAGCATATCTTGGACTATGGCATACTACTCAGCAATAAAATGGAAGAAGGCATTAATATACAAAAAGATATCAATGGCTCCTAAATGCTATGTGCTAAGCGGAAGAACTGATATAAGAAGTCTACATCTTATGATTCCATTTGTACAATATTCTAGGAAAGTCAAAACTAAAAGCAGATCAGTGATTCTCTGAGAATGAAAAAGAAAATATCCTACAAAAGGACACAAGGAAAGCTTTTAGGAGGATAGAAATATTCTTAATTATGCTAGTGGTTACATAACTGTTATAATTACCAAAATTTAGCAAACCTAGAGTTGATGAGTATCTAAATTACAAATTCAAAATAAAAAAAATAAGAGAATAAAAAATTACAAAGATTATTGACATGTCATTTCATAAAATAAATGGAGAATTATAGAAATACTATCATAACAAATCATTATCTACTCTTACACATATGTTTAATTCCTAAAGTCAATAAAATCCTGACATAAGTATGAGACACTCAAGGAAATATTCCTATACTTACAGAAATGCATATCCTTAATTAAATCCTCAAACATTTCAAGGTCTCACAATGAGACCAGTTCATAGGTAAAACTTCAGTAAATAATGTCTCATAAATACAAAATAAACTTAGTAATAATTCCCTATACTTCCATTTTATGTTACTATTCTAGGATAGGTATTGCAGGAAAACATAAAAGCATTATATACAGTCATACATCACTTAATGATGGGAATATGTTCTGAGAAATATATTAAGAAATTTTGTTGTTATGCAAATATCTTTGAGTGTGCTTACACAAACCTAGATGGTATGGCCTACTACACAATTAGGCTAAAAACGTGTACAGCATATTAGTGTACTGAATACATAACAAATTGATAAGTATTTGTGTGTCTAAACATATAAAAAGGTATAATAAAATTATGGTATTATATATGTAATGGTACTACCATCTTATATGTGGTCTGTAGCTGACTGAAATGTCCTTATGCAGCATACAACTGTAAATTACTAACTTTGAGAAACAACAATCTAACTATAGATGCCATATTGTACTAATGCAAGAGCTATATAGTAGAAACTCTGTCATTTAATTAGTTTTGTCTTCAAAATGTCTGGTCAAAATTGGAAAATCCCCAACATCTTGATCTCCTACCCCTTCCCCACAATAGACTTTTTCCTGCTGGATCATACGCCATACATCATAGGTTTGAAGACAGCGGTGTCTCTAGTCCAATACCTGTTGGGAGGGATCTTCTGAGTATTCCAACACTGTTTAGGAGACTTTCCCACAGAAATATTGTTACAGGTAGTGGTTAAATTTTTTAATAACAATAATAAGGTACTATACTTTAGATAGAAAAGATAAATTTTGCTGACAGACCTAGAGATCTAACTACCATTCCAAGCTAATGACTCTCAAATTTATAACTTGAGTTTGGAATTCTTCCATTAACTGATACTCGTATATCCAACAGTAAACCTAACATTTCCACTTCCACAGGTGTCTAATAAACATCTAAAATTTAACACTCTTGAAACTGAGCTTTTGATATTCTTTTTAAGACCTGCCCCTCCTAAAATTTTCTCCATCACAGTTAATGGTACCTACATACTTATAGGTAGAGGACAAGACTCCTTCTGTCTCTTATAAGCTTCGTTTGAATTGTGGACAAATCCGTGATCATCTCACTTACCAGATCTACTTCATACCAACTCCATCCTGAGACTGGTTAACTGCAATGGCTTTCTCAGTGATCTCCCTGCTCTCACATTTCCCCTTTAGGGAAAAAGAAAGTCTGATCCCATCACTACTCCTAGCAAATCTCTCATTGCCTCTTTGGCTTTATCTCATACTGTTAACTCCTATGGTTGCTGAGGGTTTTTTTTTGTTTTTTTTTTTTTTTTGTTTTTTTTGTTTTTTTTCTTTAACTCTGGAAGTTCCTGATCACATGGGAGCTAATTTTGCAAAGTAACCAGCTTGAATATCCACAAAGACTATGATAAAGAAAGAGGCAAATATGATGGAAATAACTATTTCATAATACAACCCAACAGAGTAGAAAGAATGATCCAGTGGCTCCAATGGCTTCCAATCTCATTCAGGATAAAAAATACCCAAATTACCACAATGACTCCCAAGACACTCCAACTTTCCTTTTCCACCCTAACCTCAGCTCCTACTACTTTTTGCTTGTTCAATCTGACTTCCTGGATGTTTTAGAAACAAAGTAGGCATGTTCAGGTCCACTGAACCTGTTGTTCCCTCTATACAAAAAGTTTTTCTTCTAGATTATCCAATGAATAGCTTTTTTTTTTTTTTTGAAAAAAAAAAAAAGAAGAAAGAAAGAGAGAAAGAAAGAAAAAAAGAATAATAATAATAAAAAAAGAATGAAGGAGAGGAAGAAAGAGGAAGAGGGAGAGGGAGAGAGAACGGGGGTGTTGCTTTATTGCCCGGGCTAGAATGCAGTCTAAAAATGGGTATGAGACATGAAAAAAAAAATGAGAGAAGAAAATAACAAACAAGCAGCCAACCAATATTTCATTTAAACCTGTAAATAGGTGTGATGTGGTACTGATAAGAGTGTATATTTTGTGTATTTAAAGTGGAAAGTTCTATAAATGTTAATTAAGTTTACTTCTTCCATATCTGAGTTCAAATCCTGGATATCGTTAATTTTCTGTCTCATTGATCTGTCTAATATTGATGTTGAAGTCTCCCACTATTATTGTGTGGGAGTCTAAGTCTCTTTATAAGTCTTATTATTCAGGTATTCCTGTATTGGGTGCATATATATTTAGGATCTTTAGCTCTTCTTGTTGCATTGATCCTTTTATCATTATGTAATATTCTTTGCTTCTTTTGATCTTTGTTGCTTTAAAGTCTCTTTTATCAGAGGCAAAAATTGCAACTCCTGCTTTTTATGTATTTATTTATTTTTACTCTCCATTTGGTTGGTAAATCTTTCTCCATCCCTTCGTTTTGAGTCTTTGTGTATCCTTGCATGTGAGATGGGTCTGGATGCAGCATACCGATGGGTTTTGGCTTTTTTTTGCTTGTCTGTGTCTTTGGATTGGGGGATTTAGTCGATTTAAATTTAGACTTAATAATAATATATGTGACTTAATACTGCCATTTAATATTAGCTGGC